CCGAAGGAGCCGAACGACGTCGATGATACCCGAGACGGTTATGTTAAGTAACATTATCAGAGGGGGCATTGGAATGGACACCATATGGATAACTTTACCTGGACAACCAATGGATATCTTCATGTGGAAATCCTATTATTGTTGTCCCGATTGTGTCCATGGACACCATATGGATTACTTCACCTGGACATCCATTGGGTATCTTCATGTGGATATCCTATTGTTGTCCAGAATGTATCCATGGACACCTTGGACATATAATAGACACTGGAAGTGGGCTAGTGTGGAGAAGGAGTTATTTGGCGATTGATTGTGTGGGAAAATGTAACAGAGACAGATTAGTCATAAAATGCTTGATGGTTTATTATCTCCTATATCATTCAGTATTCACTTCAATTCTCCTCACATATGGTACAAAAAAACTCTGCTCGAAAATTTTTAGGACTTTCTGTTCCAAATATTATGCATAATAGTACACAGTATAATTGATCAGTTGCTAACTTGAAAACAAAAAAATTGTTAAAAAATTATAGACTGAATAATGTTCAAATCGAAGAAAACGGAATGTCCTGAATAGAAGATGATGAAACAACATCAACTATCAAATGAAAAACATGACCTTCAACTTTCTCTGGAAATAGTGAGACCTATTATGTATACTTCAAAAGTTCAAAAAATCAAAATTGTGAGTAATCAAATTATATATTTCTTCTTGATCTCCCTATTCAACCCTCCATTCAACCTCTGGTGATTTAATCAGAACCACCTTCCTGCTGGTTTATCTATCAGAGTAAGATATCGAAGGGTGTGTGATATAATGATGGATTCTGAAAAAATATTGCTTTGTTTTTCATTTTTCAAATTGAAATCTAAAATATATATTACCAGATAAGGATATTTTGATTGATTTCATATCTCTGACTCCAATGTTTCCCCTCTGCCCTTACCAGGAACATCGTGTGGCTCCTATATAGATAGTCTTTCCCATCTCTACCACCTTGAGTTTTGAAAAGATGTACCTACCTGGAAAAGTATACAGTTCAGGAATCATCTTATTGGGTTTCTTCATGAACTTATCTATGAAACAAAAAATAATAATCACTGACAAAATGATCAAATTTCTATAACCAATAATATATCTTTAATCCAGAATGTGAGGCACTTTGGGGTTTTCACTGGGGTTTTCATCAGCCATCATAATCAATCACTGGCTGTTGTTCAATCTCATATGAGAATTGAAGTTAGACCAGATTTTACCTCGCGTGCAGCGCGATACTGTTTCAATTGCTTTGCTGACATAGTTACTAGAATTATGTCGAGTAGTGTATGAGAAATCACGGAAATTCCCAGAAGAGATTCGTTAAAAAAATCTACGAGATTATTTTTAAATGAATCACTGAACAATATGTTTATAAAAACATATCTTCCAAGCAGATAAAATTGTGAGAGAGGCACACGACTTCAATTTGGAAAAAAATAGAGCAAAAACAAGGGGATTCCAACTTGAATGGTGTTTTGTGGAGAGAATATTTGTGAAATGAATTCAAGGTCAACAAAAGTATGTTGAAGAGAACAATAAATTTATGTTGAAGGGAACAGTAAATTTATGTTGAAGAGAACAGTAAATTTATGTTGAAGAGAACAATTAATTCATTAATTCGAAACACCTGCAAATCAAATATTCACCATAACATCCTATTCGATGAGGCCAAAAATGTTACGTTTTGAATAAGTTGTGGTTTTTAGATTCAAAATTTGACCGGCACAAGACTTGTCAAACAAGGTGGAATAGAGAGGGACTCACCTGGAATCTTCCCTGATCCGATCTTCTTCGGGGTTGCAACCACCTTATCCGCTGATCAAAGAGTTTGTGGACTGTATGAAGGGCTGGCTGTGTTTTACACTAGATTTGCTTTGCATTTGTTCGAACAATAATAACTTGAATGGAATGGATACAGAGAGCACGCGTCTTCCGCTGAATATATCAATGCGACCATATATGACTGTTCGCGCGGCATGTCCGTCTCAAAACCAACTTTGACAGTCACAAAAAATATAAGACAAAAACGCCTTCAAATTAGAGAAAGTAAGACATAGAAATCACTATACAGAGTGATAGTGAATATTCAATTTCATGGCAAATATTAATCCCTAATAATAATATGAGGAAAATTATGAAGAACTAATTTATGAGGAAAAAATATATATATATTAAAATATTTATGCTGCTAACTCAACCTACAGTTAACGTGGATTAAAATACAGTATACCGGATTGACTTGAAAGAGTGATGTTATGTATTGAAAGACTTTTTCAATTCACCATTTATTGTATTTCATTTCACAATTCCAACTCAGGACAAAATCTTTTTTTACACACTTCTTGTAACCCTAACAACCATGCTCTTCATTCATTCCAATATACAGAGTGCATTTAATTAGTCTAATTAACGAATATAATATTGAACCAAACAATGGACATAATATAGTGAACATAACAAGTGAAAGGTGAACTATTATTGAGGTCTAATTGATCATTAAGTAAAATGTCAAAATTTTTGAGTTTGTTGATTTCTAGTGATTCAAAATGATTGAGTTTCAGTCCTTTATTTTATACGTGTAGAATTTCGAAATTATTATCAAAACTATGGTTTTCTTCTAATATATGGTTGGCGTATGTTGAATTTGTTATCTCTTTTATAAAATTCATCCTATGTTCATGAATGCGCTGACTAAACGTACGACCTGTCTGACCGATATATACCTCAGGACAAGATCCACAGTTGAGTTTGAATACCCCTGATTTCTCGAATTTAGAAGTTTTGTCTTTATTATTCTTGATAAACCGAACAAATAACACGTTGGTACGGTTCCTATCTGTGGCTGAGGACGAGGCTGAGGGTCTACCCTGGCACTACACCTACGTTTGGCACATCTTCACACCTACGTTCTGCACACTGGACATCTTTTTGCTGCACCCTGGACATAGCTACCCTGCATTTATTTCTGCGCACCTGTATTTATGCTTCCTGCTAGTGAGTTCTCTTCATTGATTCTGTACTGGACAACCACCATCAAGTGTTACTACCTATACCAGCCTAATTGAAAATTCATTCAGTCCTAAGGGGTTATTATCACATCAGCTTCGACCTTTTCATAGTCTAATATCATATTTTGTTATCTTTGTCTGATTTTCACAATTGGAAACCAATGTGCACTGCGGTGAATATCACCTCCATTTCACAAATGAAGTTGACGTAATTGCATGCTGTTTCAGAGAGTTCATTTCGACCAGCCATTTTTTTCATTATACTTTTGAGTCAAATTTATTGTCACCATCTACTGAACCAGATAGTTGGATTTGGTCAGTCCATGTATGTTTCTGCCATAATAGTGTTGTTAAAATCACAGACAAGATTCATGGAATACTCTTCAGGATATTAAATGTAATATTGTTGATAGAAAATATAGGTAATTTTTTTGTTGTGTCTAACTTATCTATCCCAGTGTCCTGCGGTGCTACCAGTGTCTAATTCTTACTATACAAAACAAGACACTGAAAATACTAATTTTGTAGCAAGGACTTCCGAAACTCGAACTATCAAGTGAATCTCAGGCAGATAAACAGCCACCTCAGGGGTAGAAGATCTTTTCAATATAATGATCCTTACTCCCTGAGTTTTGCAAGTTACTTGCCTACGTCACTCATATATAATGATGTTGATAATAATAATATGTCTTCACCTATACCACGGTACAAGAGGGAGGAATACAGTCACATACATTCGAAGAATGCAGGAGGCTGTTCTTCCATATGGCAAGCTTCATTAGAAGAACAAGGAGAATCTCTTGCTGTGGCGTTAGATATATCGAAAGCATTCGACCGTGTTTGGCACCAAGGACTCCTCCACAAACTACCATCATAGGGCTTACCACCTCAGCTATGCCATCTCTTTCAGGCAGATCACTTCACGTGATTGTGGATGGTGTATCGTCTGATACCATTGCCCTCAATTTTGGCATACCACAAGGATCAATTTTGGTACCAACATCGTTCCTACTTCATATCAATGATCTGTTGGGAGCAACCACTTGCCCCATCCATAGTGTTGCAGATGATAGTATCCTTCAAATGCGTTCTCTTCCAGAATTCTGATTTCTTCCCAGGAAATCAAGAACTCAGGTCATTGCTGTCAATGAAGATCTTGCTAAAATCACAGCTTGGGAAACCAACAACCTAGTTGAATTCAACGCCGCGGAAACTCAGGCCTGTACTTTCCCTAGGAAGACGGAACTCAGTATGCCTGATATAACAATGTCTGATATCAACATTCCCACCAAGTCAACTATAACCATTATTTTAACGATATTGGACCAATATTGTCTCAAATATGTGTGTGCTACTTTGCTCCCGTTAATTGGTCCACAGAGTCAGCAATGATAAATACCAAACATCCTGATTCTGATGAAAAACTCCATGAAAAATTCAGCGATCTCTCAGACAATTGTGATACAACATTCCATTAGGTAAGCTGATACAACATGAGAAAGTATTGAAAAATCAAGGTCTGTACCATCAAAACAATCAACTTGATGATTCCAGTCTTGAGAAGAATCTTCTGATTCGAGTTTTCACAGCACAATTTTGTGATTGAAAAAAAATGGAACAATTCGAAATTTCGAATTACCAACCCAAATAACGTCAGGAAAGTCATTTATTGTTCAGTTCTCCCCAAATATCTTCCAAACTATATTTATCATCTCAATTTTGCTTGGCTTTGCTATTTGTAGTAAACCGATTCATTATTTCTCACTGTTCAGGAATTACCGGTGGACAGGAAGATATCTGTTATTTATTATGTAGATTATTCCGATCTATATTCATATTAGTTACGAGATCATGATGTTTGATATGGGGAAACTCACCCATGACCTGAGTGTCCATTAAGGTGTATCTTTGTTCAATTTTTCAATCAATTCCTAGACGAAATTCAGGTTGCTTTGATTTTCCTGAAATTTTATCACCCAATATATTCATTGACAAATACTTGACAGTGAGATGACTTTTAAATGATATCGAACATGTAAATAGTTAAATAGGTAGTTTCCTATTATAATGGTGGTTGTCTTCAAAATATTTATGTTTTTGTGAACAAATTATGCAGTACAATGGGTAAGTAATTTTGAATATCTCTCCATATAGATATTACCCTGACTTCTTGTGACCTGAGATCAGATATCAACATAACAATTATTTCAATCGAGGTGTGATCTAATCATGCATACCTATTATAGAAGTGGAATCATATATTCATCATCATTAGATAATTCAACGTCCTATTATTCCATAGTTCAGTTGACTATAATATCCAACCAATGCGTGATACATAGCAATTGGACTTCTTCCGCAGAGTTGGAGCAATGTTGAAATGAGCATGTTACATAAATCGGGACCAATCGATGACCCTTCCAATTACAGAGGAGTTGCACTGATGAATTGCCCTGCCAAGGTATTCACTCAGATTTTACTAGTCAGGCTCGAAAGTTGGGCTGAAAGCATCAATGCAATGCTTCCCGAATGCCAATCTGGTTTCAGGAAAGAAAGTTTTCGTTTTGAACTCTGTTATCCAGCTTCAACTCCGTCTGAAGTCTAATAAAGTATTTGCTCTCTTTGTGGACTTCAAAAGAGCATTTGATTCTATTAATCATGGTTTATTGTGGCAGAAACTCTATAACACAGGCGTCAGTTCCAATTCAATCCGAATAATTAAAAATCTTTACGAAATTGCAGCGATGACCGTGAAAGCTTCAGATGAGTTCTCCAAATCATTTGACATCACTCAAGGTGTTTTGCAGGGTGAATTTTTGAGTCCTTTCTCTATTTGTTCTATTCATCGCTGATATGGAAAACTACTAAATCAGTAGAGGGGCTCAGGGAAACAATATTGATAACTTCACCGATGTACCGGGTGAAAGAGAGAGAGAGAGAATATACTTTATTATCATAAGAGATAAATTCTTGTTGACAAAGTTTGCTTAAGTTTGAAAAAATATATCAAGGTACCCAAGTCTAATGCATACTGGTCGATAATTAAAAAAAAATAATAAAAATGTGATGTATAATGCCTACTAAAATAGTATATGTCAATTTCATACCTGTTAGTATGTAAAATAAATGTAAAAAAAACGAACCGCAATACATATTGAATACACAAACCAACAACAAACAGAATTTGTATATATAAAAACAGATAACAAGTAAATAGGAAATCACAAAAAGTGTTAAAATGTGTCAGAGTAAAATTCCTGTAAATTATAATAAGTTTTATGTAACAGTAAGTTTTTCACAGATTTTCTAAAAATGTTCAAATTGGCAGTGTTTTTGACATAACTAGGTAGATGATTGTACATCTTGCAGCCGTTGTAAATAACAGAATCCTTAATCAGTGATGATTTAGGAAGTGGCAGACTTACGTTCATAGCTTGTCGAGTGACATATTGTGAAGGAAGTTTGTTAAACGTGTTCAGATGTTTCCTTATCAAACAAACGGTTTCTAATTTAAAAATTTTATTATCGTGAGTATTTTATGTTCAATGAATGAAGGCTCATAGGAGTCACGAATTCTTGCTTTGCACATAAATCTTAGCCCTCTTTTTTGAAGAATAAGAATACTGATCATGCAGTTAGCATTACATGCACCCCAGAATGGGATGCCATACCTGAGATGAGACTCAATTAGGGAATAGTAAACGATTCTAGCCGCACCCAATCCCAACTCCTTTGAGACAATCTTGACAGCAAAACACCCAGAAGATATTTTTTCCTAAAGGCCTGAATGTGTTCCTCGAATCTTAACCTAGTATCGATAAACAATCCTAGGAATTTTGTGTTGAGTTAATTTTCAATGATATTTATTTGACCCAAGGGGTATGTCCTCCAGTGAGCATCGGAAGGTTGATAAGTTTGTTTTTGAAATATTGAGAACAAGTCGATTAGAATCACACCAATATTTATTACTGTTTATATTAATGTATATCATCTCTTTGAGTTCACTACTGTTCTTGGCACGCAAAAATACTGTAGTGTCATCAGCGAATAGTGTTAACTTCCCAGATACGTTGATAGTCGACTAATCATTAATATACAACAAAAACAGAAATGGACCCAGCACTGATCCCTGTGGCACTCCACATTTCATAGTAGATCTGGATGATCTTGATAAGGTTTCTACTATGGTGCTGCGATTTGATGAGTACGATTTTACCCAATTCATTGTTATACCTCTCAAACCATAACACCAAAGCTTCTGCAGCAGTATTTCATGATTTACGCAGTCGAAAGCTTTGGACAAATCACAAAACACTGCTGCCGCTACCTCACCATTGTTGAGCTCAGTATAAACTTCATAGAGGAAGGAAAAAATGGCATCCGTTGTATTTTTACCGGATTGAAATCCAAATTGTTGTTTACTGATATTTTTCGTCAAAAATTCTATAACCCTTCTTTTCACTTATTTCTCTATCATTTTGGCAATTGTGGGAATTATAGAAATTGGTCGAGAGTTTGCCGGATTCTCCGTGTCTCCCCCTTATGGAGAGGAATTACTAGTGATGTTTTTAAACAGTCAGGGAAATGGCCATCACGAAACGAATCATTGATCAGACTCGCAAAAATACTGAGAACATTGTCTAGGAGGTTTTCGAAGATTCTCGCCGAAATTTCATCGATTCCAGAGGATTTCTTCCTATCTATTGACTTTATTACAGTTCTTAGTTCATGAAGATCTGTATCATAAAGTAGAATGCTATCCGGAATTCTTACATTTGAGAGGAAATCAAGTGGTGCTTTTTCGGGCGACAGTTCAACAGTTCAACAACTAAGAACGGCTGTCGGACATATCTCAGCAACGAATAATGATACAAGTTTGAGATAGGATAAATCTAATGGTATGCATATCATTATACGATGTAATAGAGAAACTAAATCTCAACAGACAAACGAATACCGCAACATGATAGCTTTTCGCCAACGGAAGATATTAACTATCAAAGTTGGAAGAATGATAGATATGACAGCCGTTCTTAGTTGTTCAACCGGTACTAATGCTTCTTTACGCTGATGATCTAGTAATTTTAGGGCACTCCGAAATAGACATATTTGAAAAACTCGAAGTTATAGAGGAAAACACTGTCGAAAATGAATTGAAAATGAATGCCAATAAAAAATAAATGTGTTTCTCTAAAGGTGCTTGTAGGACTAATAACCCAGGATATAAATTCTATTTTGACAATGCCGAAATATCTATGGTAAATAAGTACGTCTATCTGGGAGTGACTTTCACCTCATCCTCATTTTTTCGTGAGATGGCAGTTTCATCAGCCAATGAAGCAAAACAAGCAATTGGTGCATTACTTTATGAAGCAACAATTTTGAGTGTGATAACGAGTTGTATTCCTGTTTGGGGTTTGAAATATCATAACATCCTTGGAAGAGTACAGGTAAACTTCTACGAAAGGCTCTTGCTACTACCTTTTAGTTCACCTGGAAACTGGAAAGTCAAGTTTTTATATAATATTTTAAATCCACCCTGAATTGGACCATCAAAATTCTTGAAATGGACCCTCCTGCAGAGATCCGAATTTCTGCTATTTTATAAACAGCTAACTCTCACAAGAGCTTGAGGCTAACTATCTACAGGGTGGGCCGATCTATATGGAGGATTTGAAAAGTTTTCAGTACTTGTGTATGCATGTTGAAAAAAGTTGTGAAATACAAAAAGAAAAATATTCAATTGAGAAAAAAAAATTGAATTTCAAGTTTTAGAACTGCCACAATGACAGTTAATTTTGGATTTAAAAAAATTCAGATTTTCAGAATGTGCATGTGATCAGAAGTTCAAGTACCTGGAAATAATCAGATTTCCTTCAATATTTTTCTCCCTATTTTCGCAATTTGAACTGCCACGAAGACATTCTCCTAAATTTTAAACTACATTTTTTTTGTCAATCTAAAGTGTTGGAAAAATATTATTTACGTAAGATCAAATCAATATTTATTAAAAAATGAACAAGAATAACAAAATGTAAAACGAAAATATGTTGACATCTAACATGATAATAGGTCGTATCAATATACGGGGGTAACTCGAAAAATAGGTATATGATGGAACATTGTTCTGAACAAATGAATTCATTCTCATTTAAAATTTTGCTTGGATTCAAAAGAAGGCATAATGTCACGTGATTCCAGTTTAGACTTATCACACCATCTCTGTTGTCACCACCACAAACTACAGCTGAAGCTTCAGTCACAATTTCAACAGCTCCTTCAACTGCTGCGTGTGACATGGATACGATTTGAATTCCGAATACGACATTGATGTTGCAGGATTCTTCACGATGCCATTCAAAACTTCTTCCGGTAACTCCATTGTCAATGGCGGTTCCGTTATAACAGAAGTACCTCAATCAATCATGTCCATATAACTGGAAGCGCCCATATTCAGAGAAATTGGAACAAATTTTCGTCGTGAATGCTGTTCGTTACATTTTCGAGCTTTGACAATTCGACGTACAGCGAGTTCTCGAATATGTTCTCTTGGGTCCCCTAGCATTCCAAGTAGGATATTTTCAGGATGTGCGAAATAACTGTTCCGCAATATCACTGGATCAATCACATCTTTCAATTTTTGCGGTAAATACCTCGAAAGACTTATCATTTTCCAGACATTGAAGGCTCCCTGCATGCATGAGGGTTTTGCTTTGATGATGAACCACATTGGACCATATACTTTCAGAATGAAAGTTACCAAGGTAACCAAGTTTTCTGATGGCTCAGCTGTTGAAACGTATAGCCGCAGTATGCGATTAGCCGTTGTCAGCCATCGAGAATGCACAACTTTACCAGGGCATCGTTTGGATGAGGTTTCGTCAACAGTGCCTCTTGAAATAGCATCAGACATATCGAAAAGATATTTTTGATCTGTGCTGAGATCAGTCCTAACAGACTCATCCAGAACCGGAATATTCGATCCAATTATGTTGAAGAAATCAACTGAAATGAAAAATAAAAAGATGTAAAATTACAACAGGTAGAAAAAAATCAAAGAATTACCTATGGAAAGACTCTCACATCCCTTCAGTGCTTCTCCAATAGGTCCACAGAAGCCCTTGGGCCCAGTTGTGTTGCCATCTAGAAAATGTATGAGATGTCGCAAAGGCAGTTCATTTGCGTGCAACTGGCAAATGAACCACTGCAATGGTCTATCCAAATGTTTCTCCAAATTTGCAATAATTCCTGAATCCTTTCCAACATTGACGTTAGTTCCGTCGTATCCTATCACTCTCAAATCATCTGTTGTGATATCAGATTTATCGAAGTACTGCAGAATACATTTCAATATGTTCGACGAAGGCCCTGATTCAGGACTAACATGCGTCAAGTATACAGACTCTGGCATTTTTATATGAGAGTAATGTGTTCTTCGCGGATTTTTCGTCGACGACTGTCTTCCATCTTTAGAGTTTCATCTTTCCTTCCATCAAAAAATTGGCCCCGTAATGATGAGTTTTGATTATTATCTAATATGCTCTCACGTTTCTTACTCCTAGCACGACGAATCTTGTTCTTATCTATGATAGTGCTTTTGTCTTCGTTATTAATGATACCAATATCCTGGAGAACGGCTGATGCTATTGCTGCACCAGCTCGATCAGAAATGCCATAACGATCGAGTTTTCTTGCAAGCACGGGTATTTGTAGTAAATTACGTTGAATTTGTGAACGTCCTTGAGATAGGGAAGAAACCTGTTGAGAAGTACTGGGCTCTTGCTGGGATCTTTCCACTCTCTCTGAATCCATTTTCACTTCCATTCTAGATTTCTCATTTTCATCTAATTCGTTTTTTCTTTTCAATATTCCTTTTCTTTCAATTCGCTTCTGATTAATTCTAGTTGTTTTCACATCCACGGAACTGATCAACATTTCCCTTACGGTTCTTCGATCTAATAGAAAAGAACGTTTTGCTTGTGGAACTTTGAATATTTTATCACAGACACACGTATTGAAGTCTGAACATTTACAGGCAGCCACATCAAATAGGACTTTGGATTTTATTCTGAAATCCTCTAGCTGCTTTTGATAACTTTTCACCTTATTTCGTTGTTTATAAGGTTTTGATAAATTCCTTATTTTGAGACGATAGCTTGTTATACGTTTAATGATAGTACACTGAAGAACAGTGGGAATGGAAGCTTTATCCCAAATTTCAGAATTTTTTTGCTAACAACTTTAGTTGCTCCAGTTGCAGTTTGCTGTGGATTTGTTGATTGGGGCTTCATTTCATATTCAGAACATTTTCACTTATACATTTGGAAGGTCCAAATATAGGGCACTCTAAATCACTTGATCACGTGGCCTAGTTAAGCATTATTCTCAGTGCGCGTGCGGCGTCAGTGGCGTGCGTTGGTTAATAAATCATGTGAAAAATAAAACTCAATCAAGGGTGTTCGTCACAGAAAACTCGTTGATGTGGCAGTTCGAAGCATCGATATATAGAAAAAGCAAGATGAAGAAAAAGTTTCAGAATTTCTTACCACGCATTTTATCCATATGCACATATTGAAATGTTAACCTTGAGAATCTAATGCCCTTGTGGCAGTAGAAGGAATAAAAATACGGAATATATTATCAATAAAATAAGGACGACTTTTGTGTTCCAAAGAAGTTCAAAATTCGCAGAAATCGAAATTCAAAAAATTCAGAACTCGAAAATCAACTGTCATTGTGGCAGTTCGAAACAAAAAAATAAATCATTTCATCATACGAAAAAACAATTTGTTTTTCGTTTTTGCAACTTTTTGGAAGTTGCGAATACTTATTTTCTGAAACCGCCAATATCGGCCCACAATTCTACACAATTTCCATTTGCCCATTCAGATCATTGAATGTATACCAGAAAAGAATTCCTCGTTTTATCAGATAGATAATGCGAATACGAATACAAATGTATTCTTTTTATGTTCATTATACACAGGGTGTCCCGAAATCAGCCTGCCAAACTTCACCAGCGGCTTCTATGATCAAAAGTAGGAAAAAATGAACATAGACGAGAAATGTCTCCTGAGGGAGCTACGCCCCCCCGAAAGATGCTTCCTGAAAATGATATTTCTTGAGTATTTCAAAAACTCCATGTTATGAAAAGATGCAATTTGGTACGAGAACTGAACTTTCTATGCCCAATTCAGTGAACATAAAATCATTTCGGAATTTCACCCAAGAGTGTATTATAAATGATGGGTCTACATTGAATATTACTTGAAATTTTTTGTATGCATATTTTTCCTCTTCTCCTCTTCACAGTACAAAGGTACTCTTGTTCCGTGACGTACCAGAGATATCATCATCGAGTAGAAGTGATGTAGAACTATTGTTATATCTCAGATACCTATTATGTATAACATTGCAATGAGTTGTAGTGGAAATAAAAAAAAAACGCACAAGCATTAAAGTAGTTTTTCTGATCATTTTCCTATTTTTCGCGCTTCTATGAGATTGTTTGGTGAAAAGAAAGTAGTCGATTCTTTTAAAATAGTAATCCATTTGGAAAAACGAAAGTTATGATGAGGTTCTTGATTGGAATATCTGGGTTTCCCTGAGAGTGTTTTTTATTTTTGATCATATCCGCAAGAAGGCAGTCAAAATATCTAGAGCATATTAGAATTTGAGTCAAAATCATTGTATTACTTGTGGAGTAAATTGACCAACATTTGTGATTCCAGTTTCTTACACTGAATGTTCGTCTATGCCTATGTACAATGAAACAGTTTCTACCATAACCAATAATTTGACAAGAATAGCACCAAATTCAAAATTTTTCGACTTCTCTCTTTCGGATATGGCTAAACCAAATTGAGAAATAAATAGACCGTTGAATTGAGATTTGGAATATCTCCCAAACAAGGTGTACTTTGATTCATTGTACTACTTGAAATTCTTGAAGTAGTTGATCTGTAGAGCAGGAGCTTGACAAATGATTGGAGAGATTACGATCAAAATAGATTGCAAATATATCCTTGTAGTAGAAATACGGATTTTATTCCATGATACTGTTACGTTATTCGGGTGCTGAAGCGAATACGACACTATTTATTTTAACTTGAGGAACACTAATTTATATCGAACTTATAACTACCATTTATGTAAAATGATTTACATCACGCGGTAAATAACTGTCTCTGCTTTATTGCTTCTCGAACGTTCTCGAATGATCTTCCGTACCCTTTTTTTTTTGTTCTGAAAGCTTCTTAGAACAATACCTCTTTCTTTAATTGTTCCATCGATCGTTTCCAGAACAAATCAGAATCATCTGTCACGTTATTTGTCACCGCGACATATATTGAGTGTTCGGAAATTAAAATTGAATTAAATCAAATGTTACAGGATGAGCATTGTACTCCTGCTTCCTGCTGATGTTTCTAGAACCACTCTAAGGGGAATATCATCGCAATACATTTCCACACTTCATAGAGCAATTATTGTCGTTAACTCAAAATTGTTGATCGCAAAAATAAGAAGCATGGATATAGTCTCTATTTTTTGTTTCAGGTGTGAAATGTCACGTACCTGTCCGACTATGGATTGTAGTGATGGTGTTTTTGACAACTTATTCTAACTACCTCACCCGAGTGAACATACCAATGAGCATTGTATCTATGAGAGGAGGAGGAGCAAATTTAAAAACTAAAGAAGTGGCACAATGCTTGCAGGATGAATCATCGAATAAGACAACCACTAATAAAACCACTGCATTACCCGATGTGAGTTTATAAGTATACATATAAGAGATTATGTAATATTTCGAATAATGCAATATCTTTCAACAATAGATTCATCAAATATACAGAAAGAATTTTTAGGTATCTACTTTGATGGAAAATTATTGTGAACTAAATACATAGACCATTTGAGAAATGAAATAAATCCAATCATAGGCATTTCATTCAAAATATGAAATATCATTTCTGTAAAATACCTGAAGTGTATCTACTTTTGCCCCATATATTCAGATTTAAATATTCAAGTCAAGTCGAACATTGGCAATCAATCTATATTGCATAGGTTCGTGTAGAAAATCCAGGGGCATGTTGCTGACGTCAAAATAAGAATAAAAGTTTGTATAAAGGTAGGACCGAAAGTTATCCGTTTCTGAGATACAGAGTGTCAACATTGTTTTTTGTTAATACATTCTAAAATAATCGTGATATTGGAATGAAATTTGGTATCTAGGGGTATTTTTCAATGACAATATCAAATTTTATGTTAGTTTGTCTCTTTCGTGAGGGTGGCGCCACCTACATGTCTTTTGAGTCTTTTGAAAAGACATAACTTTTTTGTGCGTACCTGTATAACGTTTTATAGTAGATAAATAGATTTCTAGAACACTTTTGTGTGAAAAATATATTCCTGGTAGAGGTCGCTGCGAGCAACTCTTTTCGAGTGCAATGCAATGCAAGTAATTTGGAATGACAAAAAGGTGGAATTCAAAATTTATCTATTGAGTAAGGAACATTATTTTTCTCCAATTCCATAAAAAGTTATGAATCAGGTGTTATTACAATTCGATACTAATAATGATAACATTGATCATAGATGAAACACACTCTAGTTGAAAAAAACTTGGATCACAAGTACAGAAGACAACAAACTCCACTGTCACAAGAACGGATTGAAATAACATGACAAAAGTACTCACTTATTGATTGTTATTTTTTCAAATTGAAAAAGTCCAAAAAAGTAGGTACAAAGAAGTAAGAATCTTATTTTGCCTACATTCCAATGTTGAATGTAGGAGAATATTGAATGAAAGAGGAAAAATGCACTGGCGAACAACTTTTCTGATATTCACTATAGAGGCGCCTTACGAGCCACATGGAAATAATTCAGATGCATCGATTATTTTGAATCTCAATAAATCGAAAACAGTTGCACGAAGCGACCCCTACCAAGAATTAATATTTTTCACGAAAGTGTTCTAGAACCCTATTTTTCTAATATGAAACGTTATACAGGTAGGTACGCACAAAAAATTTATGACTTTCCAATAGACTCAAAAGACATGTAGGTGGCGCCACCCCCACGAAAGATACAAAATTACATAAAATTTGATATTTTCATTGAAAAATACCCCTAGACACCAATTTTCATTCCAATATCACAACTATTCTGAAATTTGTTACCATAAAACAGAAACGAATAACTTTCTGACATATATTCATACGAACTTTTCTTCTTATTTTGACGTCAGCAACATGCACCTATATTTTCTACACGTACTTGAGAAACACCCTGTATATTTTGATGTTAAAAAATTATATATATGAAAGAATCCTACTGGGTTCTTTATGCATTTGACCAAGGTTTTGGTGTACTTGGCATTCGCAAACAGTATGCTATTTTTCCGTAGCATAGGTATAGCACAGGCATGTATACTTCTTGAAGGCAGCCTGTTTGGATATGAGGAAAATTGATTTTTTTTCAATGCAACTACACCTGACCCTGATTATCTTTTGGGCTCACGCAACTGGTATGCCTTTTGATTTTTTTCAATTGAGCATATCACTTATATTTCAATTTGGAAGGCAGCTAGGGTGAAATCGTTTCGATACGCTTAGTATGCGAACAAATAATGTTAATGAACATTAATGCATGAGGAATTCGGTAGGATTCTTTGAACGGCTGTGATTTTTTCTTAATTTTTTTTTGCTTCAATAGCAGTTTCAATGTTACATATTGTTCAAAAAAAAATATGTATCTTCCAAAATGGCGCCTGGGCGACATTTTGGAGGGTTTTTAAAATGAAGTGGGGGTAGAAAGATACTTCAATTGAAAGGTATTCTGATTCTCAATACATCCTCAGAATCTCAGACGAAAATATTCATCCAAACAAAATGGCGGATGATTACGTTTGAAATCTCACACCAGGATTCTTTCTCTCTATTGGTGTCTAGAAAAGTTCTTTATCCATGAAGATATCAGAAGGAAGCCATTTTGAAGAGAATAACATGGTAGTCAATTATACATTTGCTCGATTGTTCATTTCTCATGAATGAATGAAAATTAAATGAAGACACGATTCTGAAATTTCCTTCATTCCAAATTTTCGCATCCTCGATATTTCAAATTCAAACTCTAGAATGTGCATGCTGGAAATACTGTCTTTACGAAATGTGATGATTTTCTTAGTGTCTTAACCCCTTATTCTCATGAAGTTGACAAAAATCAATTAGAGATGTAAAGGTGACAGTAGATATCATGATGGACAACCTGTATTTTCCACTCTATCGAACAATTTTCAACATCCATCTAATCTGTCATGCTCAACGGTTTCGTTTCCAAATAAACGTATGAATTTGAATCAAGTATGCTGTTCATTGTGAACAGAACAACACCCACAAAGCTTGTGGCTCCGACGGAATCCCACCGATTGTGAAATGTGCTCCCGAACTGACACCTGTTCTCTGCAAGTTGTTCAACTACTTATACGAATTGGGGATATTCCCATCCAACTGGAAAATCACAACAGTACAACCAGTTCCTAAAAAAGGAAAAAAAGACCCTACCTAGCAACTACAGACCGATCGCATTGCTATCTATTATTTCAAAGATCATGGAGAAAGCTATCAACATCGAGCTCATGAAATATCTAGAACATTCAGGTATTATCAACGATAAGCAATATGGCTTCCGCCATCAAAGATCAACTGGTGACCTGCTCGCTGACGTCTCGCATATATGGCAGCTATCTATTGAAAAATATGGTGAAACCTTAGCCGTGGCACTTGATATCTCCAAGGCATTCGATCGAGTCTGGCACCACAGACTCCTCGCCAAGCTTCCATCTTATGGTTTGCTTGCTTCCCCAGCTTTGTTCTCTGCTAGCTAGTTTCTAGTTAGTTTTCTCAAACAGGTCTCTCCATCTAGTGGTCGACGGAGTTTCATCTGACTCTCTTACCATAAATGCTGGTGTTCCGCAAACATCAATTCTAGCACCAACACTATTTCTACTCCGTATCAACAATTTGTTGGATGCAACTTCATTTCCAGTACACAGCTTCGCGGATGATAGTACCCTTCATACCGCCTTCTCCTCCAGGGCTCCAATACCAGCCAGGCAAATCGAAAACGAACGGGGAAGAAATGTTGACAACATAAGTATGGACTCGACAAAAATTCTCGAATGGGGATCCAATAATTTGATAGATTTCAATGCAAACAAAACACAAGCATGCATTTTCTCTAGAAAAGCCGATCTCAATGTACCAACCATAGGCTTGTCAAGAGTAACCATACCTTTGAAGACATCCATTTCGATGCTTGGTATTACGATCAGCAATAACCTTTCTTGGGAAAATTGCTAAAAGTTCATCCCAAAAACGTGATTTTCTGTATCGGGCCAGGAGCTATTTCACTTCCAGTCAGGCACAGATCCGACCTGTCATGGAATAATGTTTTCATATTTGGAGTGCAGCTCCCAAACATACCCTGAAACTGTTGTATTCTGTCCAAAAAAGGGCAATTCGTCTCGTGGGTGATGCCTTGCGCACAAATTCACTCACTTCTCTGGTACACCGTACAAAAGTTGGCGATCGGGCTCTATTTTATAGATATTTTCATGGACGATGCTCTTCTGAAATATCAACAATAATTCTTCCTCCCTTGGCAGTCCCTGCGAGATTAACCCGTCGAGTTGAGGCTTCGCACTCCTTCGTGGTCACTTTGGAGACCTGCAGAACATCTCTCTCCAAAGACTCGTTCATCTAACGAACAGCGAGGCTCTGGAACACATTGTCAAGGCAGGTGTTTCTCGAGGCATATAACCTCCAGAAATTCAAGAAGAACACCAATTCCTACCCTATTCTTCTTTGTTCTCACAATGTTCTCTGAACATTACAGGATATCTCTTTCCGTGGGAACCAGAACATAAAAAAAAGGTGTATATCGAAAATTAATCTCCACCCAGCAAACATGATTGAGCGGTAAATAGGCGGCCGATTGCTGGTAACTGCGGTTAGTTGTCGGCAGCGGCACACCTATGTCGTTAAAATGTTGAAACGACATCGGTTTTGCCGCCATGGCTGAACGTACGCATGTTTATAATGGATGTTTGTTATTCAGCCAGAAATTGCCCGTTTAAAATTCCCGACAATCGTGCCGATGTCGCTTTGACGCAGTATGTATGTTGTTTACAGGTCAGTGGTAACTGAACCAAATGCAATGTTGGCATCACTGGGTTTTTGAGCATTGGTAGTACTGCTAATTTATTTTCGTGTTTTAGTTCTGTGTCCGTAGATCGCGTCAGTTGTCTGTCACTTGTCTTCAGGTATTTGTTAAACGGCGTGATAATATTAATATTATTTAGAAAAAGTTGGTGAGTTTTATGATTGATCCCAGCAAACTATCGTCCGACATCAAGAATAATGATATATGTTATATAACAATAATTAAACTCGTTATTGTCTACCAATCCATTTTTGTGGTAATGATTTTGAGCTAAATATTTGTTCATTACCCTATATTATAACAATGATGCTCCAATGCGAAGTTCAGCTCTTTACCTATATTCGAAAAATATTTGATTCACAGTAATAGATCAAACACTGGAAAAGTAATGTGGCTAGAACATTATCAGACTAAACCTATTCTACGTCGTCGAATCAACAAGTTATGATAGGTATATCGTATATGATCAAATATCAAATATAATTGAAGTATTGTACTATTTCAATTCTGTTGACTGATGGATTCGTAATAGTATCTT